TAACTGTATTAATTCAACTGTAAACCTAAAAATTTACAGCCAATTTTGAAGGAGATGCATCTTAGCTCTAGAAATTGTTATTGAGTATGTCAATGCTGTTGTAATGAAATACTTCTTCTGACTGTGTGGTTATTAAATAAATAATTAAAAAAAAAAAGACAAGAGAAGGTGCAAAAGACTTGCCGATTGCAGCTGCCCAGGAACAGTGTATAAGCCACACACACTATTTCCTACCCTAACTTCCTCACTAAATAAAAGGAAGTGGGTAGTTGTCAAATGGAAAAATCAACCAATTTTCAAGACAGATGGCAGCTCCCTACAGGACTCAGGTTCTCATTGTTTAGGGTGAGTCCTTGAGGGGACTGCTGTGTTTGGCCTCCTCTGCTAACAAACATAAAACAACATCCTCCATGTTTCTTCTTTGGGGGAAGTGGTGGTGAATTTCTCTTCATTTAAAATGTCAAAACAAAGCTCTCAAGGATTTAGGATAATACAGTAAACACAAGAAGAAGAAAAAAAATAATGAAATGCAAAGACCAGTCTTGAAAAGCACACCCTAAAAATCAACTATCACTGATTCAACACTGCTTACACAGAAATGCGTGGCTCAGCATGGGCTCACACTGGAAAGGGCAGTGACCCTGAAACTGATTCCAGCAGGCCTCAGGAAGAGGCTCAGTGACAACAGTGCTCCAGGGAAGGAAGGTGCAACCCATAGCTTATTTCAGGGGTTTGATTCCCTATAGGGAGGACACTAGGCTCCCCTGTACAAAAGCAAGTGTTAAGAGATGCAAGCACAACAAGGATAAGAAATTACTATAGAGAATTAGCCACAAGTTTATTTCCAATGCTGTAGAGACCTGTGGCCTTTGGGATCCTTTGTACTACAGGAAAAGCTGCTACAAATTCAACCAGGTGGACACAGACTGAAGAAGCTGCCAAGGGAGCTCCTCAGCTCTAAAAGCAAGAGACATTTTAAGTACAGAGAATCAGAGGTCTTTATTCATAGTTAGCAAAATTCTGGCAAATCAGTGCTTTAAGCCAAGGAAATGGACAACTGTACTCTTCAGATATACAGATTATAGCCATATGTTTTAATAGTAAAACAAAAATGATTTTCTTAACCTAATAAATATAGAGTCTCTATAGCTCATGAATTCCTTACCTCACTGTTTCTTTTAAGCATAAATACCAGGTTAGCATTTCCACCCTACAAAAAACAACAAAAAAATGCATTCAATAAATGAAGATCTTGATGCAAAAAAAAAAAAAAATCATACTCAATGTGTTTCTAAGTTATGCTGTTCTTTCCTGTTTTCCTTCTTTTCTATCATAGCATCTCCCTTAAGGGCAGAGAAGATCTGGAGTTGAATTAGTTGCTACTGAAGCCTTAGAACAGGATTAGGATGGTTTGCGCAGCACCAAACACTGTTTTAATGCCCTGTCAGGGTATGACAGAGTTGAACTGTAAAAAGAGAATTCTAAGCCAGAAGGCCCAAAGTACCAATAATGAAGCATTGTCAACTGTACAATTTGCTTTAAAACATGTGCTTTGTCCTGAAAAGGAAGGCTATTTTATTTTAAGTGGCAACCACCTATCTGAAGCATATCAAAGCAGAATACTTCTAAAAGGTAGTGAACATCAACGAGGTTCTCAGATGTGAGACAAATGTACCTTTTTAAGACCACTATCCGATTCTGTTCTCCTAAGATCTTGGCTATCATCACCTTCTTCTTTCTCACCACCTCCTAAACAAAAAACAAACAAGTATGTTTTTAATTTTTTTAAAGTTGCATAATAGGACAAACCATCCCTTATAAGATACTTGGGACCAGAAGAGTTTGGGCTTAAAATTTTTATTTGGCTGCACATGATGGCACCACATGCATACAATGCTCATGAGGTCAGAAGAAGATGTCACATCCCCTGAAACTGGAGTTATGGACAGTTGTCAGCCGCCATGTGGGTACTGGGAACAGAACCCGGGTCCTTTGGAAGAATAGCCAATGCTTTTAACTGCTGAGCCATCTCTTCAGTCCAGACTTCAGACTTGAATATATGCAATAGTAAGATACTTAGAATATAGAACCCATGTCCAAACACAAAATTCATTTAATCCTTCATAGATATCTTTATACACAGAGCCTAAAAGTCATTTTAGGATGCATATGTTCTGACTGTAACTTTGTTAAGTGTGGAGTTTTCACTTGTGACACCTGTCAGTGCTCAAGAAGTTCTGGAATTTGGAGCATTTTGTATTTCAAATTTTCAAATTAGAGATCTTCAACTCCTTTGGCTATATATAGTTTGGCTGAGATAAGGAAGGGAAAAAAAAAAAAAAAACTTTTACTACCCCAAATGAACATGATTCTGACAAGAGTTCTTGAGTATCTGAGAACCTCATGAAGACATTTATTGATTAAGGAACAGAAGAGATGGAGCTACCAAAATCCAGGTCACTGTTAGCTGCGAAGGAATCATGGAAGGCTCACCTTTGGAAGCATTCATCTGATGGCTGTCAAATCCTCCAAAGGTCTCTGCTCTCCGGGGCAAAGAAATGGGGCCAGCCATGACTTCTTGCTCAATGGGGCTGCTGATGGCCTGCCCAAGTGTGCCACCCAGACTTCCACTCACCAAACCCTGAAGGATCTCCACTGGAAAAAGGGGAAGAAAATATGCAAACTGACATTGTATCTTTCAACCAAGAGGAGAAAATGTCACAGTAACACATGATACATATAGGGAGCAGAAGAGAAAATTCCCTCAAGTAGGTAAATTCTCCAGTCTACAGGGTCTTGGGTCACAGCACCTGTTTTAGCTGGAGTCTATTGCAAATTTAGAGACAAATTTCACTCTTTCATGGATCTGAAAAATCTGAACAGGGTACAGGGAAAGCAGAGTAATTTACTGGAAGTGGCATGGGCTCTAAAGCTAGAGCCAATGGAGCTGAAAGGCATTTCCTGGAAAAATGGGCTAACTTGAGAACAGCAGGTAAAACTAGCAGGGTTTTGTTCCTTTGATAGCTGATAGTTAGTGGGTTCCAGGTCCTAGAGTGGTCTAAGCATCTGAATTCTCCAATCTAACTCCAAGATCTTCCCTAGGACAGGGTCCATGGAACAGAGACTAAGTGAGAGGGAAGGAGAGAAGGAGAGAAACAGGGATGAAGGTCTAGAGGGAATCAGGGGCAGAAAATCTCTTAACAAGCACTGTATTAAAAACAAGAATACATTAAAGTAATAGAAATGTACTATGAAGAAAGGTTTTGTGAATGTAAAAATTCCACGCAAAAATGAGCAACAGAAAAATACTGAAGTCAAACTCCCTATAAAGAAAAGAGATGGAAAATAAAAGGTAACAGATAATAAAAGCACATTAGAAACAAGTATACATTAAATAAGTAAGCCAAACACATTAAGAAAATGATACAAAACATCAAAGAACATTAAGTCAAAATTAGAAAAAGCCAAGCCTGGGTGTGGTGGCACATGTTTGCAATCTCAGCATGAAGGAGGCTGAGGCAGCAAAATAGAGTAAGGTTAGCCTGGTGCATATACAAGTCAGGAAAAAAAAGAGTTGGAAAAACCCATAGAACTGGCAAGAAAAAAAAATTATAGAAAGGAAAACTGATCTAAAACGTAAGAGCAATGTATCCAACAGAAGATGACTTAATAGGTTAAAAAAAATTAAAGTGTGTATCCCACACACATGTCCATAAAGAATAAATGTAATTTAATTTTTTTATTTATTATTTTTATTTTATGTGTATGTGTGTTTGCCTGCATGTAGGTAAGTGCACCCATGTCATGCAATGCCCGTGGAGGTCAGAAGAGGCTGTCGGATCCCCTGGGACTGGAGTTATGGACAACTGCTAGCTACCATGTGGGTGCTGGGATTCAAACCGGGGTCTTCTGCAAGAACAGCCAGTTTCTTAACTGCTGAGCCCTCTCTCCAGCCCCTGTAATTTTAAAAATTAAAAACAAAAAGGAGGGTACTTTTTTGCCCTGGTGTTTTATTGCATAGTAACAGCAGACAGTGGTAGGGGATGTTAGTGTGTGAAATACTGGATGAAGAGAGGGTAGTACTAAATGTAAATTACCCTCATTTATGGCACTTTTCATTAAAGGTCCTCCTTTGAGAGCCTCCTCTGTGTTGGAGCGGAAAAGGGCTCTTGGGCTGTGAGTTGGGGAGCAATCCTCAGGCAATGGAGTGCTGCACTCAGTCATGTCCCGGAAAATCATTTCCTTCTCTTCCAGTAGGAGAAGGATCTGCTGGTCCTTCTGCTGGAGTTGTTCTGTGGGATGAATGGAGAAAGGGATCTCATTGGCTGGTGTTTAGGATCACAAGCTAACTGAGACATGAGCACCACCTTGTGGCAGTTTTGGAAAAGTCCAAGACAGATGGATCTCATCCTGAAGGCAGGCAGGATGGGTTTCTCTTCTGTAATTTCTACCTGGAAAATTGTCCCGGGTTCCTTTTTTGTGAACACCAGCATTTCTGACATAACAAGTAGTCTGCTTTGCTTTTGTTCATTATCTATTTCTCAACCTACCACTCTCTGGCTTTGGCTCTGCCTTTCTGCAAGTGCCTTCACATGAGTCCAAAGGGATCCTTTAGTTTACTTTCAAGATATTTCCATCACGGATAATTACTCCCTCTTTTTGAAACACTTTCCCTCCTGTGCCACCACGAGGATATCGGTTTCTTCCATGGTGCATTTAATCTGCCCATCTGCAATGGGCTGGCACAGCTGAACTGCCTTCTGTACCTGATAAGCTCTCCTGCTGGGGCTCTCCACTCACTGTCAACTGCAAATCCCAGCAAGCATTCTAAAACCCACTTTCTTTTCTGAATACTAGATCACTAGGTCCACCATCAAGTTGCCATCTCTACTAAGGTGTATTTTTTAAAAAATATTTTATTTATTATTTTTTTATGTACGAGTGTTATGCCTGCATGTAGGTAAGTGCACCCATGTCGTGCAATGCCCGCGGAGGACAGAAAGGGCTGTCAGATCCCCTGGAACTGGAGTTAGGGACAGCTGTTAGCTGCCATGTGGGTGCTGGGATTTTAACCTGGGTCTTCTGCAAGAACAGTCAGTGTTCTTAACTGCTGAGCCATCTCTCCAGCCCCAGATGGGTGTATTTTCCAGCCAGTCTACCTCATCCTTTGAGATTACAGTTTTGTCCTTAGCATTCTTCATCTTCCAGCTTATCCAAATGTGGACAGAGACTTCTGCTTTTTCATTCTGTTCCACCACCCATATCTAGTTGGCTAGATTTTTCTTTTTAAAATAGCTTTTGAGGACTGGAGAGATGGCCCAGCACTGGCTGCTCTTGCAGAGGACCTGGGTTTGATTCCCAGCAGCCACATGGTCTCCCTGTAGCTCCAGCTGGTCTGGAACTTGCTATGTAAACCAGGCTGGCCTCAATCTCAGAGAGATCCATATGCCTGCCTCTGCCTTCTGAGTGCTGGGATTAAAAGTGTAAGCCACTGTACCAGGTAGAAGGAAGATTTTATCCTTGTCATCCTAATCACAGGCCAACAAATTATATAAAATGCTGATCTAAACTTGACCGTCTTTCCCCTCCTTCTCATTCTTTAATGAAACAGAATGCTACCATTTTGTACAGTTTGCAGGACTAACTAAATTCCATGGGTGCTACATTTACTTCACTCTCAGTCTTATTTCTACACAAAGTACAGTCTTTAGAAAAGTCAACAGGCACTGAATGAAGAAGAGTACCAGGCCCTACATTTATACAAGAAGAACTACAATTTCAACACTTGGGAGGCTGAGGCTGGAGGATTCAGAACTCAAGGTCAGTTTCAACTACATTGTAGGACCTTGTCTCAAAACAAAACAAGGGATAAGAATTCTGGCTCAGACATTAAGTACCCACATACTTGATCTTAGGTTGTTTGACTTTTGAGGGCTCCAAGTGCCTCATCTACACAATGGGGTTAGAACAGTTGTCTTACAGGGAGGCAGACAAGCCTACATGAAGCAGTAGGTACTCACTAAGTAGTGATCCAACAGTAAGTGAGTTTCCTGAACCACCTCACAGTTCATCTGTGAGCACAGAACTGAGAAAGCCACAGACTAGAAAGAGGAGTAGAATAGACAGACTGAAGAATTCTCTAATCTCAATCTCTCTTGCTTACATTTTAACCTTACGTGATTACAAAATTTGGTAAATTCTCCCCTACAAGGTACAAGCATGTTACCAGGGTCCAAGAACACTGACATCAAGACCAGAGATTCCACATTCCCCAACTTTTAGGCCATTTTCCTTGCCCTTCTCTTCTGAAAACAACTTGTTTCTCTATTACTGAGTTGACTGAGACATCTCTGGGCTAAGGAGCAACCAGGGTCTTCAAACTTCTGCAACCACAGACAAAGGTGTCAGACCACTTCTAACATTTTACCTTTTAACTCTCGTGCTTTGGTGTCCAACATTTTCTTTTCTTCCTCATTCTCACTAGGAATCCCTTCATCTTCATCTCGGTTCCTAAGAGCCAAAATAAAGCAAGATGAAACAAAAAATTCCTAAGATGTCAATTACGTGATCCCTGTCCTGTCTATAGGAAGTCACACTGAGATACTGTTTCACTTACAAAGTGTTGATTGTATCTTGAATAATCTGAATCCAGCTGTTCCTTTCCTCTTTAGAGCTGGCGTGGACCTCTACCATCTCTGGATCTTTCACCCCCATACTGATAAGGAACAGACCTTTCTCCTCATGTGCCACTTCTCTTACAATCAGCTTCTTTAAGGAGATTACTGTTGATTTATGGTCCTGGATAAAAGGGAGAGAGCATAGTAAGACATGCATGCAGGACTCTAACTCTGGAAGACAACTCTAACCAAAGGTAAATGCAGACACTGTTTTAAATGCATACAGTTTAAAAAACAAAACAAAAATTAACAAAAAACTAAAACCAAAAATACCCCCACAAACAAAAAAGCGATCAAACTAGACCAAACAAACAACAAAAAGAAACAAAAGCAAACCATGGCAGCTTTCAGATAAAGATCTCATCACTCAACCTGGAACAAACAAGGTTCCAAAAGGAGACAACAATTCATGGCTATTAAGGTACTAGTCATGTTTTCTGCATGGTCAATCCTCCCCATACCCCACAAACATGCTTGTCTGTAGCACATTTACCGGCCCAAACTTGTGAGACACATTCTAATGACAGATTTCTATTTGGATCAAGTCATCAAAAGCTCAGCGTACTCAAAAAGATTGTGAGGGAACATAAAAATAATATTGTAGTTAGAAGAAATAACAACGAAATGACAAGAGTGTATACGAAATTATTCCAAGAAATCTGTCCTCAGCGGACAGATTTTCAGAGGGTAGATAAACTCATAGCCATGTGATGTAATGCTAGCTGGTTACAATTCATACCCCCTCGAGTTGTTCTGAATTTGACTGGTTCTAAACAGAACAGAGTAATAATTCAGCTTACCAATGATGCAAATACATATTTCTGGTCTTTTTCTTGAAGGAAAACTAAAATGTCAGTGAGTAGAACTGCTTGAACCTCTGCAAAGTAGAAAGGGAGAAGAGAAAAACAACTACTTAACAGTGAACCAGTAAGAGGCTTTTATGAAAGCAGATCCAGCAATGCGTAGCAACCTGTGTTTGAGATCACTTCTCTGCCAATGGTACAGTTTTACAATTCTACGGGATTCCGAGTTGGTCCCTGGATTTTTAGAGGCATTTTATTTTATTCTATCTTTTAAAATGTTTTGGTTTATTTTGTTATCTTTAATGAACTATGCCTAACGTTTTACAAATCTTCAGATTGTTACAGTTTTGAGGAGTAGGTATAATAATTACAGTAATATGGGGCTGGAGAGATGCTTCAGCAGTTAAGAGCACTGGCTGTTTTTGCAGAAGACTGGGGTTGAATTCCCGCACCCACATGGTGGCTAAAAACTGTCTGTAACTCCAGTTCCAGGGGGTCCAGTGCCCTCTTCTGTCCTCTAAAGGGACATGGGTGCACTACACTTACATACATGCAGGCATAACACTCATGAAAGTAAAAAATATAGCAACAGTAATAAATACACTTTAGACTTCTCACTTAGAAACAAGAGGACAAAATGTAAATTCTAGATCCAGAATGGACATCAGTGTGAATTCTTTTATAATGTTGATGCATGGAGAAACGAGTAACTCACACCTAGTAAATCAATATGTAACTTTGAGTTTCACCTTTCTGGGAGGCTTTGAGGGACATTATTTGACCCATTGAGCTCTCTAAAACTCTGCAGTAAGTGTTGATAGCTGAGGACTCAAAAGGAAGACACAAAGTGACTAGCAAAGCAAATAAGTGCTTTTCAAAAATAGGGCTCATCACCATAAGCCTTGTCTTAGAAAAGGTTATGTGATCAGTCCTGAAAAGATATATCCTGTGTTGTAACTGTGTGTGTGGTTGTATGCATATGTACATGTACACAACTTGTGTGTCCTACAGTGGCCAGAGGTTGACATTGGGTCTTTTCCTTCATCACTTTCTCCATCTTATTATTTTCTTCTTTTATGAGACAGGGTCTCACTCAGTAGTTCTGGTTGACCTGATATTCACTATGTAGGTGAGGCTGCCTTTGAACCCACAGAGATCTGCCTGCCTCTGCCTCCCTATTGCTGCATTAAAGGTGTGCACCACCACGCCTGGCCTATTCCACTGTACTACTGAGATAGGGTTTCTCTTACTGAACCTGCGGTTGACATTTTGGCTAGACTGGCTAGCCAGTGAGCTCTGGAGATCCTCCTGTCCCCACTCCCCAGGGAGTAGCTGCATCTGGCTTTTATATGGATTCTGGGGACCTGAACTCAGGTCCTTATACATGCACAGAAAGTCACCCAAAAGACAGCTACTTACTAAGCCATCTCTCCAGTTTCCATGTATTGCAAAAATTTAAGTATAAGACTCTTTTAAGTATAAAGTTGATCGTTGGGATTTTCAAAAAAAAAACCAGAAAAACCCAGAGCTAATGGAAACTTCATTATTCCAAAGAAGTTGACCCCAATGGCAAATCCTTTGATTTCTTATTCCTGTTTTTCCCCCTTAAACTTCATTATATAGGTATGTTTTTATGTAACCTGTGTCAAGTTATTTCTGAAAAATTGTGTTAAAAATTGCCTCTTTAGCCAGGCATGGTGGCGCACACCTTTAATCCTAGCACTTGGGAGGCTGAGGCAGGCAGATCTCTGTGAGTTCAAGGCCAGCCTGGTCTACATAGTGAGTTCTAGGACAGCTGGGGCTACAGGGAGACCCTGTCTCAAAAAGACAAAAACAAACAAACAAAAATTAAAAAAAAAATTGCCTCTTTGGAAAAAAAACCCCACCAAAATTGCACTTATCTATATCTATATCTATCTATCTATCTATCTATCTATCTATCTATCTATCTATCTATCTATCTATCTATCTGAGTAAAATTGAACTTCAACAGATGACAAATAGCAACCTTTAGCAACATACTACATGAAATACTCAAAGTTGTCTTATTTTTGTCTTCCCAGTGTTAGGGATGAAACCTTGGGCTTTATGCATGTCAGACAAGCATGCCACCTAAGCAGCATCCGCATCCCAACTTCTGATTATAGTACTGGGAAACGGCAGCCAGAAAAGCTGCCTAGAAGTGATTTGAAGCAATACTTCAGAGTAACAAAGCAGAGACTTCCTCACTTCCCTACAGAAGATGCTGTTGGGGTGAGGATGTAGCTCAGCTAGCAGAGGGCTTGCCTAGCATTCATGAAGCTCTGGGTTGGATCCCCAGCACCATATAAAACTGGTGCAAACCTGTAATCCCAGCTCTGGAGGTGGAGATAAGAGGATCAGTTCAAGGGCTGTAGAGATGGCTCAGCATTAAGAGCACAGGCTGCTCTTACAGAAGACCTGGGTTCAATTCCCAGCACCCACATGGCAGCTCACAACTGTCCATAAATACCCCAGTTCTAGGGGATCCGACTCCCTCTTCTGACCTCTGTGGACACTGCATGACATAGGTGAACTCACATACATGCAGGGAATACATTCATACATGTAAAATAAAAATAATAAAATTTAAAAAACAGGGTTCAAGGTCAACCTCAGCTATCTAGTGAGTTTGAGGCTAGCCTGGGTTACCTAAGACCTTCTCACCTGCCTTCCTCTTGCAAAAACCCAACCCAACCCAACCCAGAGGTTTAAAACAAAAAGATTAAGACAATCCATCTGTTCCAGTTGGCTTTGTCAACTTGACACAGTCTAGAGTCATCCAAAAGGAAAGCTTCCATTGATGAACTGCCTAGATCAGACTGACTCATGGGCATGTCTGTGGGGGCGTGTCTTGATTATTAAAAGATATAGGAGGCTTTAGCCTACTGTGGTTGGTACCATTTCCTGAACAGGTAGTCCTGGGCTGCACAAGAAAGCTACCTAAGCTTGAGTCTGTCAGTAAGCCAGAGAAGTGAGGCAGCAAGCAGCATTCCTCCATGGTTTCTACTTCAAGTTTCTAAGTACCTGCCCTGTCTTCTTCCAAGGATGAACTGTGACCTGGAAGCTGAGCGCCAAATAAATCCTTTCCTCCCCTAAGTTGCTTTTGGTAGGAGTGTTTTATCACAGTAACAGAAAGGAAACTACAACACTTCCATAGACATGTCCGGCTTCAAAGAATACAAGGGCCGGCCTTCAGCTGCCACAGGTGGTGGTAGTCAGCTTCAATGGCCTTCTCTTCTCTCCATTAAAACAAAATCATGGGTGGAACAAAAGGTAATGGGAAGAGGTAAGATAAAGACAAAATATCGGTTTTCCTCAGATGCAGATCAGGATTTAGTTATTTTATATACAACCAAGCAGGAGGAGGTGGTGGTGGGGCGAATGAGTAAAATACAGTGTATATGAAAATATAACGAAACCCATTATTTTGTATGCTTAAGAGAATTAACTTAAAAGCAACTCAAGTTTTGTATGAATTAGCATAGCCAAAATAAATTGAGTATAAACTGTAGAACAAGACACAAAAAACAAAACCAAGGGGCTGGTGTGTAGCTCAGTGATGTCTAATACTCAAGAGGCTCTAGGATCTACCCCCACCCCCACTTTTCAAATGGAGCAAAACAAACAAATTAACATTTCTAATTGGATGCAGGAACTTAAAAAAAATTCATAAACTCATGCTGACTAATCCAATCCTCTAGGCTAACAAAGGGACATTTTCTTTTACTTCCTCTTAAGGACAATGTGGCTTCACCGAACCATCTTTCCCTCTGGAAAGCAAAACTTATGGTTCCTTGGAAAAGGATGGGCTGATTTATGTAGCCCATCTTGCTTTCTTCTTCAACCTCTGCCACAACTAGGATTCCTTTTCCCTGGAACTCACTGCAAAGCTATGCATGAAACAAAAGCAAAGGAATCTGATTCCCAGGAAGGTCTAATTTTTCAGACTATATGACAGTAATTTTCCATGCACTATCCAGTTTTAACAAGTGTATTTTTTTAAGTTTACTTTAAAATAATTCATGTGCCTACCAAAAATAAGTTCTAGAAACACAAGTTTCATTTTTTTGGATCTTGAGGTTTATATGATCAGTGTCAGTGGATCAGAAAAAAAAAAAAAATCCACCCTTCCAAAGAGTATTCAACATAGTACTGCCTGTTCTTGGCACAAGTTCACGTGGGGGCAAAAATGACTAAACACCAACCCCTATTACCCACTGCAGGCATGTCAAGCCAGAAAATCTATTGTTCTGCCATTGATTTGATCACAACTTTATTCCAACAGCTGGAATTTATTTATTTGGGGAATAAACTGTCATATAAAGGAAAGAATAATGCATTGTCTACAGGCAACAGGAGTTCCAGCAAATGCAGGTCCTCATGAGAAAGGTATTTCTGAACTGCCAGCTTACTTTTAAAGGATAGCCTCAAAGGACATTATGGAAAGGGGTCTGAGCTAGGGCTCTCAGACTATCACAGAACAATGGGGCCAAAAGGAAGGAGCCTTAATTTAAGCTCATCACAATATGGAAACACACTGCTGGCTAGTGGCCAGGGATACTTTAAAAATTATTCCATCATTCTTTTTTATGCTTCCACTGTAACACAGGCCTTAGTGGGTGCTTTATGAATCACGGAAACAGTTTGGATACGTTCCTCATACACTGCCCTACTGTTGTGTTAAAAAACAACATCATCATCTAATTCATCTCTTTGCCATGTAAAACCGTTCCACTGTGAACCTGTTCTTTGCCCCACAATAAGCAAGATTATCAACTCCTGACTCCTTAATTCTACAGAGTACACCACAGCAGTCAGACCCCAGCAGTTTCTGGTGTTTTCAAACTCTCGTCACTCTATAAGGCCTTCCTGGGAGGCCTGAACATAGAACTTTCCCTGGGTTCTAAGGTTCTCCTGACTCCATGCTTCTCCATGTTCAGTAACACCTTCCTTTTCATCCTGCAAGACTTGTCTACACTGCTATTCCCTGTTCCTCCTTCATTGGTACACGCATCATACTGGAGAGCAAGTACCACTTTCCTTCCTTCATGGTTTAAAGTCAGCTGCCTACCACTGTCTTCTGTACTACTGTTCTAAAGCATGGTGAGGCTGTGCTAAGGCCCTTTGGGTATTCTGACAGCAGGCACCTATAGGCATCATTACATCTCTGAGATGAGAAAAGCACACATTTCCTCTGACACAACAATGCCAGTGGGGCAACAGCATGGCTCTATCCTGCTCCATATTCACTGAGTCCAGGAGCCAGGCAGGAACACTTGTAACTGTTGGGAAGTCAGAGCTCACAGATGGGCAGGCTGCCCATTCAGTAAGGGTTTGATATAAGTAAGATATACTGTTAAGGAGGGGAGAAAATACCTTATACCTTCCTTCTTGTACACGACCAATGGAAAATGAGAAATTATAAACCAAATGGAGAATGAGTAGCCTTTTATGGTCTATTTTGCTTTAGAAAAAAGGACAAATACAATTATAAAGCAAATAATGTCTTGTTAAAGTGAAAGTTAAACTTGCCTTTCTCTAAGGTCTCAGAAAGTCTTTTGGAAGCAAGTGATACAGTTTCATCTCAAACTAATGGCCATTCACAATCCCACAATGGCTACTCATCTCTCTAGGGGATGTCTTCCCCAACAGTTACAAACTGTTACAATGTATATTAATCTGATTCTTGTTTTATAAGCTTCCTATTTGTCCTGAGTGCACCATTTTCTTGTATTTAATTAGGATTTTTAAAGTGGTCTCAAATTCCTCTTTTTGACATATAAATAACTAAATGATCCACCCCCCCCCCAATCTGAATATGACTCTAAGGAAAGACAAGGCAATGGATGAATCCCAGCTGAATCTGTATTTGCCTGTTCTTCCCTGGCACGCAGACGCAAATAAAAGCAGCTGGAGGCTTACCTTTCAACCTTCCTGTTGTACTTTTGAGAAACACACTCCCATCCCGCACCAGCTTCTTCCGTTTCAAATCCTCCTTGGCAAACATCTGCCCACTCTTCATCCTCATGATTGACTTGCTGTCAGTCTTTGTGTAAATCTCACCAAGACGTACTTTCTTCTCGTAACTTGCCACTTTGCTGTCCACAACTCCAATCACATCCTTCACTAGGCTTAAGGACTGAGTTAGGTCTTCTTGCTCCACTTCATTGTCTTGGGAGAAAAGCATAATTCTACTCTTAACGGCTCCTTGCAGACAAAATCATAAAGTGGGGGAGTCCTACGTTCTTGTTCCACATCATTACACTCCCTTTTTAGTTATGCTTTCACAATGAAGCTAAGACACCAGGCTACATGGCTATCTCTCCTACTGACCTAAGTTTAATTCCAAAAAGAAGTTCTCAATGCTATGGATAACATACATCTATATGCTCCAAAATAAATCAAATGTTTTAAAGAGAGTGAGTGAGCAGCAGAGAGAGTAACAAGTTATTATTTGCATCTATGCCTAATTTTTAACGCTAATGCTTCATAATCTTTAATTGCCTTAGAGATGGATTAGTTGGGAGAAACAAGTACATACTAACCAAATGAAAGTGGGACAATTCTAGCACTTATGGGAAGAAATGTTAGTCAATCCAATGTTATGGAAACAGAATTGTTCAGGACATTTAACGCCTAACAGGATCAATACATGGTCCCTCCTTCTTGGTATCATCTACCCCAAGTCTAGAGATCTAACATTCCAAATTGTTTTATTTTTCCCTCTAGTTCTGGTAATTAAACCCAGGGCTTTGTACATACCAGGGAAGCACTCTAGCAGTGAGCGAGCGGCATCTCTAACTTGCTTTTAATTTTTTATTTTGAGACAAGGTCTTACTAAGTTGCTCAGGTTGGAACTGAACTTGCTCTGCAGCCCAGGCAGGCCTTGAACTTGCAATCCTCCTGTCTTAGCCCACCATAGGTAGCTGGGATAACAGGTCCAGCTTATTAAAACTTTATTAAAAGTTTTTACTCAAGAAAACAGTTTTATCAGCCAGGAAGAGTTTATATGCCTATAATACCAGGACTTAGGAAGCTGCAGCAGGTGGATCATGAGGGTAGGTTACATAGTGAGACTTGGCCTCAAAAAATCAAAACAAAACAAAAATTGCAACAAAATAGTCATGAAACATTCTCTATAACAAAACATAGGTGTTAGGGGAGGACTGTTGTCAATTTGAGCCCAGCCTGGGCTACATACCTAGTTTTAGGTTAGACTGGGCCAGAGTTAGATCTCATGTCAAAAACAAACAAACAAACAAACAACACAAAGATAAAGGCAAGCTCTCTTACAGGCCTGCTAGAGTATGTGACACAGCTCTGCTCTGTTGGTCTCTTGGGCTATCTGGCACCTAAGAAAAGTCCACGAATGTACACGGCTGAAATTTACAAGAGACTCACCTTTGGTACACTGCAATAGCCTTTGGAATAAAACTGGGTACTTGGTGATCCTCTGGGTTACAAGTAATATGCACTCTGGAATTCCGAGCCTCCTTACTACTGAACTGCTCATCTTCTTCTGCAAGGGAGTGAACGAACTGTTAGGAGCTATGTGAGGAAGAAGGCTCTAGCCAAAATGTAGTATGACTATTGTTCTTGACAATGAATGCTTTTGTTTCATATCAGTACCTTCACAAAGGCCTGGAAACGCTTATCCTTTGTATAGAGGTCTTTGAAGTAGTTGACAGACTGATTGTGCTGTCCACAAAACTTGCCGTATGTCTTCTTTAAGCGTTCTGCATTCTCACCTGAAAACTGCAGGGCAGAAAGAACAGTAGTAGTTAGACCACAATTCAGGGTACAATTCTGTAGGTTTCCAGTCTGTTTGTAAAAGCTGAGAGTGTTTCATGGCAAATTCCCTCAAATGATTAAGCTGGTACAACTCCTTTGGAAAACAGTTTTGCATTTCATCAAAAGGTTAAACATTGAGATCTTGTAAGACCCAGTAATTCCACTTCTAGGTATGTGCCCAAGAGAAATAAAAACATTTAGCCACACAAAAACTTGCATATAAATAGCCAGAGCAGCATTATTCATAATAGCTCCACAACAGAAAAAAACACAATTATCCATCAAGATAAATAAAATATGATACCCATACACTGGAATATTATTCACTTTTAAAAAGGAGTAAGGCAGCTAGGCATGGTGGCACACACCTTTAATCCCAGCACTCCGGAGGCAGAGGCAGGTGAATCTCTGTGAGTTCCAGGCCAGCTAGGGCTACAGGGAGAACCTGTCTCAAAAAGACAAGAAAAAAAAAAAAAAAAGAGGAGTAAGGTACTGTTACATGCTACAATTCTGAAGACCTATGAAAGCATTAGACCAAGTGAAAAAAAACCATTCACAGAAGGCCACAAATTACTTTATTCCACTTATACAGATTGTCTAGAGAAGGTAAATCCACATAACAGAAAGTACACTATTGGGTGCCCAGAACTGGTGTAGTCTGTATTGGGGTAGTATGGAGAGTGACTACTAGTGAGTGTGAGGTTTCCTTCTGGGGATATGAAAATGTTAAAATTCACTGTGGTGATGACTGCACAACTGTGAACATACTAAAACCAATTTAGTTGTAGGTTTTTGTTTTATCTGTTTATTTTTTTTGAGATAGGGTCTCCTAGCTGGTCTGAAACTCATTATGCAAACTAAGCTAGGTTGCCTCTGCCTCTTGAGTGCTGGGATTAAAGGCATGAGCCATGATACTCAGCTGGCTGTATGTCTTAAATGAGTTTGTTATACATTATATATATATATATATATTAAAGCCAAAACCAGAAATACTCATGTACTGTGATGTAAGAAATGCAAATGTGTTCTAACATCCACTTGTCATGAACATAGTAATGAACAAACAGAATCATCACAAGTTTTTAAGACAGCCTTAAAAACCTGTCCACAGTAAGTCACCTGCCTACGTGTAAGTCCCTCATTACAACCCACAGGCCTCCATCTAGATGAAAAAGAAAAAGAGTACTACGAGTGAGTAGGGAAAATAATAAGATTGTTTTTGCAAGGCTTTGGATTTAATCTCTAGCACACACAAAACAAAGTTAGAGAACATCACAAACACGATCATTTAGGGATCTGATTATCCCACTCACTCAGGCAAGCACTTCTTAGTATATTATGTATGACCATTAAAGAACCCCAAATATATGTAATCTTATAGGTTCATCTGAGGATATGTTGGCCTTAGAATAAGTCAACTAGTTTCTGCATGGGATCTATCTGATACATGCCAGGAAGTGCTGACTTCCTGTTATACAAATTTATCCTTGTCAAAAAAACATGCAAAGGGTCCAGGGTAGTTCTTCTTTTCTGCACTCACCAATGGCGAAGTAGAAGCAGAAAAAGTGTAAGTTATCTGCTACTACCATAAATCAAGTGCCCTAAATAAGGTTGATTCCATCACTGGCATACAGAGTGCAAATGAATACTATAGAACTAAGGTTTCATTTCCAATATCTAAGACCTTACTGGGGTAGTGTAAAAATACAAGGAGCTACAGATGATAAGTCAAGGTGCGAGGAGGTACCTGTGCAGGTCCTCAGGGCAGAGAGAAGGCAGAAAAAGAGAAATTGAAAATGTTTGGAGAAGAAGTTTGGGGAAGAAAGGTCTTCGTTTGTAGAGCCCCATTTTAGGCTCTATCTGTTGCAGGATCATGTGAGTCTGCATTTGGCAAATCCAAGTACCTCACATGAAAGAGAAATGTCTAGTCCCATGTGGGACAATACTCTTGTCTCTTAAGGTTACACTAGGAACATTTCCTTTTTCAAAAACACTTTTTAACTGAGCTTCTTTAGAGTGGGACTGAAACCAAATATTGATGAAAATACTAACACATTTTATGAAGTATTTCAAAAATAGCCTACTGATAAGCTTCAGCTAGATTTAAGACATATGAGATACTTTTCATATGCATTATAGAGAAAATCAGACTTCTAACAAATATTTTATTTCTTTTTAAAAAATTTATTTATTGTATGAGTGTATTGCCTGCATGTATAAGCACCTGTGTCATGCAATGTTCATGGAGGTCAGAAAAAGGAGGCAGATCCCCTGGAACTGGAGTTAAATATGGTTGTTAGCTGTCATGTGGGTGTTGGGAACTGAACACAGGTTCTATGCAAGAGCAGCCAATGAGCAATCTCTCCAGCCTCTATTTCTTAAAACTATATTGTTCTGATGATTATATGTGGTTTTGGAGGAAAAAAAAAAAACCTTTTACAGTGTACCTACCATGTTGGGCACTTAACTTTCCAAAGCAAAAAAAAATTCTAAAGTCATTTGTGCTGGATAACCTAAGTTGTCAACTTGATACACCTGGGAAGAGGGAACCTCAACTGAGGCATTTCCTCAATGGGACTGATCAATGGTCATATTTGTGAGGCATTTTCTTAATTGCTAATTGATGTGGGAGGGTCCAGTCTATTGTGGGCAGTACCACTCTTGAGCAAGCAGTCCTGGGTTGTATAAGAAAGTTGGTGCACACCTTTAATCCTAGCACTTGGGAGGCTGAGACAGGCAGATCTCTGTGAGTTTGAGGCCAGCCTGGTCTACATAGCAAGCTCCAGGCCAGCTGGGGCTCCAGGGAGACAGTCTCCAAAAAAAAAAAAAAAAAAAAAAAAAAAAAAAAAAAAAAAAAAGCAGGATGAGCACAGACAAGAAAAGCAAGCTCCTACAGGTTCCTACTCTGACTTCCCTCAATGACAGACTGTCACTTGAAAGAGTAAGATAAAATAAATCCTTTCCTCCCATGTAAGTTTTGGTCAGTGTTTGATCATAGCAATATAAAAGTAACTAGGACATCCTTATTTTGCAGAAAAGAAGATTGAGGATTAGATTAACTCACTATGTTAAGCCTACAAAGAAACACAGAGCTGAGATGTGAAAGCAGGGCTCTGGAATCACAAGCTTCCCTGCCACCCTCCTGGCAGAAGCAGCTGAGACCTTTCCCACTGCTCACCTGATTGACAAGCACATCCCCTATCCTCTTGATGAGAAAGTTCTTTTCACTTTTTTCCACCAGAGACTCCTTCTTCCGCTCCAGGATTCTCTGGAAGAACTGGCTGTGGATACTGATCAGTTCATCCAAACAGGGGAACAGCTTTTCCACCATCTGCTGCTCGAAGAGCAGATCCGTCATCATCCCCCGGCTGTACACATCACTCATGATCTTGAGCGTGCGGATGTGATGTAACTCTGTCTGCATCAGCTCTACAAGAACAGAGATCAAGGGTCCTTCAAAAGTTACTGGTTAAGCTCATAAGGTTAGTATGGAGTCCAAATGAAACTGTATTTTTTTCCTTAAGTAGTCTCATCTTATTCTACTTTGCACATGATATGTCATTTTCTGATGATAGGTATATCAAAATTTTAAATGGTTTCCAAAGAAGTCTTCATTGAATTTAGTGCCTCTCATTATTCACTGTATTCTTGCTTTCTAGAAACGATTACGTTGTATCTACTTTCTAGTATAGCTAAAGAACCAAAATGTATTTTTTAGAAGTGAGCTCTTTCTAGTATTGTTGCACAAATAAGCATGCAAATATAAACAAATACTTCAATAGAATGACATACAGAACAAGGCAGCATAGGGCAAAATGCACAATAGGACACAAACAAGACCATGTCTCTGTACCTCAATGGTTTTAATGAAAACTTTGAGGATGCCCCATACTCAAAAATTGAATTTCCATAGCCCAACAAGTCATCTGCTTAAAAAAGCTAGACAAACAAGGTATGGTGGTGCACACTTTTAATCCCAGCACTTGGAGGTAAGGGTAGGTGGATCTCTGAGTTCAAGGCCAGCCTGGTGCACGTAAGTTCCAGGGAAGCTGCGGCTATATAATGTGACACTGTCTCAAAAAAAAAAAAAAAAAAAAAAAAAAAAAAGCTGGACAAGGCAACTCCTCCCTTCTCTCTCTCTCCCTACTGCATAGAGCTGTTTCCCTACCTCTCAATAAACCCAGATTGCCCTTCTTCTAAAAAAAGGAAAAACAAAAAAACTGGACAATGCAGATCAAATACAAGAAAAGCAAATGAAGAATCTCACCATAAATCACTTCCTGACGTTTGACCATTTCTTTCTTCTGCTGTTTTAGAAACTTGCTGTCCACTATCTGAGTCCAGGACTCTGCTTCCAGCTGTTTAGAATCAGTCTCAAAGTCTCCCATCAGCTGTCCTTCATTCATGTCTGTACCTACTCCTCAAAATAGGAAAAAAAGCAACCTCAGGATCTTGGGTTTATGACTCCAAAGTCTGGCTTTCCCTTTCAGGGTAATAAATGATTTCATAGGACACATCTGTAATAGAGGAGAGGGTACTCAAGGAGAACACACTCTGGAACTACAAAGGATCAATGTCTACACTGGGAGTGACAGATTCTATACTCAACTCTGGTTACATGATAAGCATCATGCAAATCAAACAAGATAGAAACAATTCTTATGTGATACTGGAACTGGAAGGGACCTGCTAGCTCTACGTTGTAAACAAAGCAGGGTTACAATTGCACAGAGAGACGGAGTTGAATGTGTACCAAGTCTAGGGGAAGAAAAACCAACTATACTAAAGTACACCCACATTAAACTCAATGTTTCAAGAGACAGCCAACAACAGGACAGGTGTGACTGCCAATCACTGTACTGCATTTGATGCTTTACAACAGTGAAGTCCAAGGCTCTTCATAAGTCAGGGAAGGAGAAAGCAGGCATGACCACTTACTAATAGTATACTAGGTAATGCATTTATATACAGAGGCTTTAACAATGCAGGCCCAAATGTCTTCTTACCCTCATCTGTAAGTGATTCTGTTGACTCATTGACCTTGCAGATTTTATTCAGGGAGTCTGTTGAATGAGACAGAAATTTCCAGGTGTTTGACATGTTCTCATCATTGCCAACTCTGGGGACAATTAAAAAAAAAAAGCTGTCAAATACACTCTGATAAGCTGTGGTACACACTTAATTGAGTACCTGTAAAACTAAAATCACAGCTGTACATTTTATGATGACTCAAGACAAATCACTAAGGTATACAGTTAAATGAAACATCATTAAGGAAGTTTAGAAGAATTTAAAATCATTGCAAACTCAAACTTTTTCTCTGATTTTTTTTTAAAGGTATACACAAAGGTAAGTTTCTTACCTTAAACCATGTACACATTACACATTATGTAACACATTTTTACTTAAAACGTACTGTGTAACTACTAACCATTTTTAATAAAACCTGTTCCCTAAAAAGCTACCAACTTACAGTCAATTTTATTCTCTGGATTTTTTCACTCTAACTCACTAGCTAGCATAGCAGTCAATGAATAAATATCTATTCTACGACACAACAGCAAGTGAAACTCACTTAAACTTCAAATTTTCTTTTTATTTGTTAAAAAATAAGTCACTGTTCCAAAGTCACAATGCCAACAAATTTGGGGAGCATTATGACTTTGAAAAGAAGGCTTATAGAGATCAACAAAATACAGAGACAAAGAAAGATACCTGAACTTTTTTGAGGAAATGTTAGCCAATACAGAGGTTACAAAACATATACAAACGCAGATGCTGCATTCTTAGCTAAGAATTTTCATTCGGCCTATTATGTTAGGAGACATGTAAGAGATGTTAAGTATAAGATGACTTATACTTAACCTGATGGATAGGGCAGGGGGCATCTTACTTTACAGAGCCAACAGCATCACAATCAGCCCTATGCTAACAACCTGACAATCAATGACTGAATAGCCAGTGGCCACAGCAACTTTTGAAGTGACCACAAAAGGAGCTCAATGCAAATGAATAAGTAGGAACATAACAGCAATAGACAGACCAAACTTCACCTCCATGAAACTGATTAAGTGGGAAGGGCAAAAAGCACATTTAAAAAACAAAACTGGTTCATCTTAACAGTGCAGAGGTGTGACACCTGAAGATATAGGAGGTTATACAGGTACATTCATAATTAAATCATCTTTTCAGGATTCAGCTTCTTCAAAAGTGGGGCCAATCATGTACAAATGCCTAAACAACATCAGTCTGTGATGGCACAACAAAAATTCAAAAATTCAACTCCCAACCTCCTCACCCTTACCATCCCAACTGCCATCTGTGCACCAGCCCAGTATGTTATAAATTCATTTCTCTCTCTCTCTCTCTCTCTCTCTCTCTCTCTCTCTCTCTCCCCCCCCCACTTCCCTCCCTCTCTCATGGAGTAATTATTATGTTCTTGTCGGCCAGATGTCAACTGAATTCTTTAAATCCACTTACCCAGTAATGTTCTGTATAGAGACACTTTTGGAGAGAGAGACAGTCTGCTGGGACCGCCTATTAGTAAACATTGGGGCAGTAGTGGCTTCATCGGCCAAAAGGACTGCAGATCTAGGGCGCTCCTTGGGCTGTGAAGCTGCAAGGGAAGAGAGAACATTAATTAAAACATCCCCTTTCCAGGCCCCCTAGTGCTGACTCATCTAACAAATGCCACATACAAACAAAATGCTTTCAGGTGATTAGCTCTGGAGGCTTAAGATGGTACAGAGACTATGGAGGACAGTTTGGCAATAGCTACTGAAATTATAAATGCCTATGGGTTCTTTGATTCACATTTCTTCTGCAAGATATACTTGCATATGTCTGAAAGAACATATGCCTCAGAGTATTCATTGCAATGTTCATAAAAGCACCAAAAGATCAGAAATAACAAAAGTGAACACCAAAAGACTAAAGTTCTAGTATATTACACATTAGCATATTATGCAGCTCTAACAAAATGAGGACTTTCTCCATCTACTGACAAAGAAATCCGTGTGTGTGTGAGTGAGTGAGTGAGTGAGTGAGAGAGAGAGAGAGAGAGAGAGAGAGAAATCAACCTGCAGAACCAAGTAGGCTACCTTTCATGCTTAAAACACCAGAAAAAGTAATACTCCAAGTTGCTCACTCTTCAGTGTAGGACTGAAAGAAGGTAACGAAGACAGGTAATCATGTGAAAGAATTATGCATTTAAAATTTTATTTAAAAATTAAAATTTAAAGAAATTTAAGGGGGCTGGAGAGATGGCTCAATGGTTAAGAGCACTGGTGTTCTTGGAGAAGACCCGAGTTCAAATTCCAGCACCCAAATGGTGACTAACAACCATCTGTAACTCCAATTCCAGGGCATCTGTCCTCTTTTGGCTTCCACAGGCATTGCATGGCATGGGTGCATTTATATACATGCAGGTGTAACACGCATACATATTAAATAGTTTAAAAAGTTTTTAAAACTTAAGGGTAAAATAAATCTCAAAACAACTGAGACTAGTGCTCAATGGGGCTATACCATGCAACATGGTTTAAGACACGAAATCTAGGGGCTGAAGAGATGGTTCACCAGTTAAGAACACTGACTGCTCTTGCAGAGGACCTGGGTTTGATTCCCAGGATCCATGTGGCAGCTAACAACCATCTGTAACTCCAGTTCTAGGGAATCTGATGCCTTCTTCTGACCTCTGGGTACTGTATAACACGGGTACACGTACACACATGCAGGTAATACACTCATACACATAAAATAAAAATAGAAATAAAATATTTTTAAAATTAAAAAAAAAAAACATGAAATCTAGCACCTTTGTCCTCCGCAGTGGGATCTAGAACTGCAGACTCTACAAGCTCAACTGACTCTTCTGCTTGTTCATTATTTCAAAGTGTGTACTGTGATAAATTCCTTTAATTTATGGGTGGAAAAAACCTAGTAATTGTTTAATATTACATTTTTCCTTAAATGACCTAAGAAGAAACTGGAGCCCTAATATGCTAAAGTAATCACACTAGTAAATTGTTTTTACTTGGAAAGTGATCTACTGCCACAGACATAAATTTTAGTATTTGTCTATCCCCCAAAGTATCAAGAGAAAGGAAAATAAGACTGGGGGGGGGCTACTGTAATTTCAAGATATTTCAGGGTGCTTTTAATAAATGTAAGCATGATCACTGATTTCCGACTCAAGCTCTACTTAGACAAAAGTGATGCAATAAAACAGCACAAATATATATGCTACAGCACAATCAGATGCTTGAGATGTGGGCTGCTCAGATAATGTACCACAGGGTTAGAGTTCAGAGTATATCCTAAGAGCTTCAAAAGGGCAGTCAATGAGAAGATAAAATGTGATGGAGGAAGAAACAGTAGTTCTTTTTTTTAAAAAAAATATTTCATTTATTATTTTTATTTTATGTGTATGCATGTATTGCCTGCATGTAGGTAAATACCCCCATGTCGTGCCATGCCTGCAGAAGACAGAAGAGGATGTTGGATCCCTTGGATCTGGAGTTATAGACAGTTGTTAGCTGCCTTGTGGGTGCTGGGATTTGAACCCAGATCTTCTGCAAGAACAGTCAGTGTTCTTAACCGCTGAGCCATCTCTCCAGCCCCCGAAACAGTAGTTCTTAAAAAATGGTGAGGATGTGAACAGGGTGTGAAGAAAACAGGATATTATGATGGAAAGAACTGTATAAATCAAGGCAGAAATAATCATGCAGAATTAAAGCAAAAAAGGAAAAAAAGAAGGTAAAAAAGGACATAAGTAAAGGATACACACCCATACATTTAGGGGTCAGTAAGAAGGAGAACCAGAATGTTATGCAGAGCCCTAAATGTTCTAGGAACAACTTGTATCTGAGAAGCTACAGAAGGGGATATAAACAGCTTTTCTTGGTTTGAAACCGATTCATGGCTTTCATGGTAGAGTACTTAGTATCTCTAAGCCTTAGTTTGCTTATTTGTGACGACGACGACAGCAAAGGTTTGCACTTAAGGAATCCTATTACCAAATACTTTACAGTTATGATATAATTTGAGCCTGATTATCCCCTATGATATTATCACCCTCACCCTTTTTACAGAGGAGGACATAAGGCACAGTGAAGTTTAGAAACATTCAAGATTACGAGGCTATAATTACCAATTACTTTTGTGTGTTTAGTGTATGTGTGGTATATGTGTGTATGTGTGTGCAGGCACATTTGCCTACAATGGTTGATGCTGGAATGTCTTGTTTCTCCACATTATTATTATTATTATTATTATTATTATTGGCGAAAGTCTCTCACTGAACTTGTAGCTCACTATTTTGGCTAGACTGGCTGGCTAGCATGGGCTCTGGGGATTGCTTGTCTCTGCTTCCCAGAACCTGGGGTTACAGACATGTGCCATCACATCCAGATCCAAATGTGGATCCTCTTGCTTGTGCAGCAGTAAGCATTTTAACCACTAAGTCATCTCCTCAGCTCCCAGAATTTGTATTCTGAACCATTATAATGACATTCCATCTCATTCTAGTTAGAATGGCTATTATCAAGAAAATAAAAATCAACAAATGTTGGTGAGGTATGCGTGAAAAAGCTTTATACCTGCTGGTAGAAATATAAATAAGTTCGGCCACAATGGAAATCAGTAGGGAGGGTCCTCAATAAATTAAAAATAGAACTTCCCGGGCTGGAGAGATGGCTCAGCAGTTAAGAGCACTGACTACCCTTGCAGAGGACCGGGTTCTATTCCCAGCACCCACATGGTGGCTATGAGAACTGTCTTTAACTCCAGTTCCAGAGGAACCCGAAGCCATCTTCTGACCTCTGTGGATTTGCACAACATGGGTGCGCTCACATGCATGCAGGCAATACATGCATACATAAAATAAATAATGCCGGGCGTGGTGGTGCACGCCTTTAATCCCAACACTTGGGAGGCAGAGGCTGGTAAATCTCTGTGAGTTAAAGGCCAGTCGGTCTACATAGTGCGTTCCAGGACAGCTGGGGCTACAAATAGACCCTGTCTCAAAAAGACCAACAAATAAATAAATAAAATGTTAAAAAAAATAAATAAAAATAGAACTTCCGGGCTGGAGAGATGGCTCAGCGGTTAAGAGCATTGACTGCTCTTGTAGAGGACCTGGGTTCAATTCCCAGCATCCACATGGCATCTACAAACCGTTCTTAACTCCAGTTCCAGGGGAATCTGAAGCCCTTTTTTGACCTCCGCAGTATTGCATGACATCGGTGCACTCACATACATGCAGGCAATATACTCATACACATAAAATAAAAATAATAATAAAAAATTGTTTTTGGTCTTTTTGAGACAGGGTCTCCCTGTAGCCCCAGCTGTCCTGGAACTCACTATGTAGACCAGGCTTGCCTTGAACTCACAGAGATCCACCTGCCTCTGCCTCCTGAGTGTTGGGATTAAAGGAATGCCTGTATACCAGTTTACTGTGGCAACATCCATCAATGGATGAATAGATAAAGAAAATGTAGTATATATACACAATGGAGCTTTATGTGGCCATAAAGAATAATGAAATCATATTGTTTGCAGGGAAATGACTGGAATTGGGGCTCATTCTGTTGAGCAAAATAAGGCATTTCTACAAAAATAGACAAGTATTACAGCCTTTTTTTCCACATGAACTTTAAAAGAAAAAGGGGGCTGAAGAGAGGCTCAAAGGTTATGAGCACATATTACTCTTCCAGAGGACCTGGGTTCACTTCCCTGCACCTGCATGATGGCTCACAACCACCAGTAACTACAGTTCCAGGGGATCAGAAACCCTCCTCTGGCCTTCTCAGGCAATGGGCACATATGTCACTCACTCACTCACACACACACACACACACACACACACACACACACACACACACACACGCACACGCACACACACACGCATGCAGGCAAAACATTCATATACATAGAAATAAATATTTAAAAATAAAGAAAAAGGGCGGGCCATGAAGGTCAAAAGGACTATTAGGGGTGTAGAAGGCAAAATAGGGAGGTAAAAGGGGATAAGAAAAGGTAATAGAGTGGGACAAACATGAGTAAAGTACAGTATATTCATGGACTGTCATAATGAAACCTATGACTCTGTAAAATTAATATATACCTCTAATAAAAAGATTGTTTATAGAGGTTATTCACATAAAGGACCTTGTAAATAAAACATTTTGAAAGAGTTATTTATCTTATGTGAAAGAGAACAGGCTTCTGAAACAGTTCTAACATTACAGAAAAAAAAAGTTTAAGATTAAAATTGTTAAGCTGGATCATAGACAAGTGGTTAACAGTGTGGCTAGTTGTCTGTATACAAAGATGGATAAGAACCAGATTTAACAGGGCTAACAGGAATTCAATCTTTGTGGGTAGACAGACTGGTATAGCCATTCTCAAGCACTCAGAAAGTAGTTAGAGAAGAACAAAAGCAGTGATACTCATAGGTCTGGGTAGAGCCCCAGAATCTATACATCTAATGGTCCTGCAATAAAGCATGTTGAAGAACATCACTTTGGCCAAGTCTCACATAGGTTCCCATGGAGTCAACCAAGAAGATAATCATCAATCCATTATTTATGGTAGTAGTTCGGAGCAATTTAGATAACCTGTCTTTGGGGGAACTGATAACGAAACATTAAAAATACCATGCAACAGTCTGAAATGATAGCTGAAATAGATTTAGGGCTTCAAAAAACTTGTGTGTTTGCGTGCGTGCGTGTGTGTGTATATATATATACCATAATGTACCTGTGGAGGATCTAGGACTATCTGTAGGAGTTGGTCTCTCCCTCTACCATGAGGGACCTGGGGATGGAGCTCAGGTTTTTGGGCTTGGTGGTAGGCACCTTTACCTGTCGAGTCATCTTGCTTGGCCCAACACAACTTTTTAAATTAAAACAAAAAAAAATTTTTTTTTAATCTTTTTAAAAAATCTTTTTGAGATAGAGTCTCCCTGTAGTCCCAGCTGACCTGAACTCACTATGTAGACCAGGCTGGCCTTGAACTCACAGAGATCCACATTCCTCTGCTGCCCCCCACCCCCACGCACCACCATGCCCAGCTCAAAAATTTTTTTAAAATTACCATTTATTTATTCATTTATTTGCATGTGTGAAAATATGTGAATATCAAAAGACTACTTGTGGGAACTGGTTCTCTCCTTCCATCATGCAGGTCTTGAGGACCAAACTCAGGTAGTCAGGCTTGGTGGCAGGCACCTTTACCCACTGAGCCATCTTTTGAGGTCCTATACACATGCGTGCACTTACACATCACTTATGTAACTTCACAGTTTATAAAGAAGTTCAAACATCAAGACGTCATTTGAGTCACACAGCTGTAAAATACTAAAATCAAGCATTTTCTGAGTTGCTGAAGAGGAAACTAATTTTATGGAGGCAACTTGCTCACATACATGGGCTCTGGTGCTGCCATTAAGCTAATGCACACACCACAAGAGACACCTTCAAAGAAAGTTTGAAGATGTAATGACTAAGCTCCTGGTCAATGAATCTATTAGATTCAAGAAGCACCCTTAAGCTACAAAATAGATATAGTCTTGTGAGGTGGCTTAGGTTGTCCTTAAAAATCCTTATTAGGGGGCTGGAGAGATGGCTCAGCAGTTAAGAACATTGTTCTTGCAGAAGACCTGGGTTCAAATCTCAGCACCCACATGGCAGCTAACAACTGTCTGCCGTAACTCCAGTTCCAGAGGATCCAACAACTTCTTCTGACCTCTGCAGGCATGGCATGACATGGGGGCACTTACCTACATGCAGGCAATACACGCATACACATAAAATAAAAAAAAAATCCTTATTAGGAATAGTAAGAAAGTCTCATAGACAGTACTGTGTCTGGAACAAGTCAGAAAAGGACTTCTGAGAGGTGTGTTGAGCTACTTACATTTATTTCTCATGATGACTGTAGGTAGTGATGATGTGTCATGTGCCTGTAGGCTCCCTTTGGGTTGCTAAAAAAATAAAAAAAGACAGTACATATATGAAACTACATTGACAACTTATCCTCCATCAAGTGTCCACCAGCCTGAAGTAAAAGGGGAACACTGCATTTGGCCATCATCACCCTCAGTCTCAGCCATGGCACCCCCCCATCTGCCATCTTTTGGGCCCACCAAGCACTTAGGTGCTTAAGTACTGTTTTTTTTCCCCCCTTACATAGGAATGCTTTTTGTCATCTGCCTAGGTAAGGTGCTCTTTCATTTCCAGATGATTTAAGTACTCTCTTTGACACAGTCATCCAACCACCAAGGCTGTGATGGGTACCACTTAAACACTCTGCACAGAGCCCCACAAAGCTTTTCCTGACCTAAGAAAGGCTGCCTGTCCATATTCCCACTAGACTACTAGTTTGTAAAGAACAGCACCCGTCTTCTTCACTTTGTTTCTTCAGTGTGAAATGTTACATTCTTAGGCAAAATGCTAATTTTATTTCAGACTTTTGTGGTGGCATGTACAAAAATGGAAATCACAAACTCAAGTATTTAATCTGAGATAAATCACTGAGAGGAAATACACTACTTTCATTTTAAATGAATATTCCCACATAGGTTGTGCACAGAGATGTTATTCTTTGTATCACTATTCTACAGAACCTACAGCATTCACAATAGCCATCTTATCAGATCAGGAACTCAAATGACTGAGGATCAGGCAGACAATAACTGACAAAAGCAGTGGGGAGATGAGAGTGGAAGTGGCCATCTCATTCTTCTGAGCAGCAGCCCACTGAGCTCCTGATTATTCTTTGCCATACAATCTTCTAAATTTGAAGACTATTATATACCTGACACTATCCTAGGCACTCAGTCTACTGTTCTAATTGATCAAAGATTCCTGCTTTCAGACTGGTTGGCAATTTAGAGCCTATGTTTTAGAATGTGTGCTGTTGTTTAGAGTGTGTCGGGGGCATATACATTAAAGAAAAAGACGGAAAAATATGGACCCAGAAGGTACTAAGTACTATGGGGAAAAGGAAAAAGAATAGGATAAGGAGAACTAGGAATGCTGGGTGACAGGAAATACCAGTGAGCTGAGGGTTGGAGGATCTTCCAATTTTTCATGAAAAATTAGAAGCCCAAATTGGCATAAAATATTATTTTTAAGTCTCTGCAAAATAAATTAAAAATAAATGCAATATTAAGTCAAACTATACATCAATGAGCTAACTAAATAAAACCCGGACAAATAAGTTAGTATCTTCGCACTTGTTCAACATTTCTCACAGTGAGGTCCAAGGTGGATCTTTATCATTTAGGAACTTATCAGAAAAGATAACTTCTAGAACCCACTCCAGAATCTGAAGTTCTCGGGATTGGGGGTTTGTGGTAGTAAATTTCTTTTTAAGTTCTTAAGGTAATGCTGATACACACTCAGGATTGAAGCCAGAGCACTACATAAGGTAGTTATGGAGGAAGCACACAGCATATTGAATTTGTGTAGACAAGACTGGAAAATCTCTAAGGAAGAAGCATACTTTATGTCTAGTCTGAAAATGCTAAAAGCCACACAGACTAACTAGAAGGCATGCTCCTACACTCAAACACTTTAGTGTACACTGTGTCACGTGACACATATACTCAGTACCACACAGCTGGTACTTCTTGTTCCTGACTGTCACCTAAGCTATTCATATGTACCTGAGGAGAAAAGACCAGGCATGTTGGGTGTACACTGGGTAGGACCCTGCTTCTGCCCATTACCTATCACAACCCCTGGTTTCTACCTGCTGCCCTCAGGCTCTCAGATGAGGAAGCCAGAGGGGTTTGAGTAGCAGATGTTTGTAAACCTGGTTAAGGAAATCCCTTTATAGCAGCAACACAGAGAAAAGTATATAAAAGTTCCAAAGACATTTCCATTTATTTATTTATTCAATTTATTATGAAAAGGTCTTACTCTAAAGCCCAGAGAAGCCTCAAACTGAGGAGGAAATCATCCTGCCTCAGCCTCTCAAGTGCTGGTATTACAAGTGTGAGTCATCAGCTCAACATATCTTTTATTCAGATTCTCAAATTCTTGAGTGAGTTAATCAAGAGGGGAACTATCATTTTAATGAAAAATTATCTTTTGATTATACTGGTCTCAAAGCTGGTACCAAATAACTAGAACAAATAAAGGCTCCCGCAACCTAACTTCTCTCAACACATGAGAATTCTGCTAGTTGTTAAGCCACTGGATTTTGAGCATTCTTTCAGCCAGGGTTGTCTTACCTTCAGTTTGACCTTTGCACAGGAGGCCAGATTTTCTCTGCAGCCTTTATGGACAAAAGCACTGCAATCTGGAAAGGAAGCACAAAGCAAAGTCACACAAAAAAGCCAACAGGCCATGATTTTGACTCTTGTCACTGTTGCCAGGAGCCTATGGGCCTCTGCTCACTGAAGAATGTCACTGTAACTGACAGTACATCTCACAGGCCTTTCCTAGGAAGCAGGCCTATGATAGTATTTGGAGAAGAAACAAGCAGATGTGAGTTTCTGATTAACCAAAAGGAGAACTCTGAAATTTCTCAGACAGGAAGCCTAAGAGGCTATCAAAATTAAAAGTTTAAATATTTGCCATCAAGACATTATGTCTACATTTTTAAGAACATATATAAGGCTGCTAGTGGGTGATATTTGAATTTTGTGAAACTGCAGGAGATGGACCTGAAGATCTACTAGCTTATGTCCTTGAACTAAGACCCCCAAATACCCTAAGCTTGTTATGCCCCATTCTCTGAATCAAGAGCCACACAAGAAAAGTCACTCCAACTCTACCAAAGCATCCATGGGAACCCTGACTCAAGAGAAGGAGGGAGAGAGAGTACTTGATACAAAACAGAGACTCCAAGTTGCCAATAACACAATTTTATCTCAAAGTATTTTTAATTCCCTTGGTCTACAAGGGCCACTGATGTAAAAACCATGCACTCTGTGCCTCAGAAGGGTCACCAGCTCTTCCTGCGCAATGAAGTCATAAAAATAAACTGTGCCAAGAGGCCAGAGGCAATGCACAAACAAATAAAAGATCTGTCTTTGGGGATGGTCAATGAGGAGTGTGTCTCTTGGGAAAGGCTCACTCAGGAAACCAGAGCAGACAGCATTCACTAGGCACTGCTTCTCATGCTGCTTCAGGGAACACCACTGGCCTTGTCCTAGCCAATGAATACACAATTTACAGGCCATGATGCTCTTGGAAGCTCAGACCTATGGTCCACAAGGGATGGAGGAAGTTAAGAGGAATGAGGGGAAGAGGAGGCCTCTGTGAAGGAGACTGCCAGAAACCAAGATTCCAAAGGCTTTTCTCATTTGTTCTGTAATAGCTGCTCCTACAAGGCCTACTTGGTTCACAGGTCTCTTCCTGAACACTAGCAGTCACACTGTACTGGGATCCTGTCAGGCTTTTCCTATACTGAGTGCTCTTCTGTGGTAGGGACTATATCTATCACCAAATCTTCAAGTCTCTAGCATAATACCTGGATCATGATACCTATTTAAATGTCTATGTATACAGGTCAATGGCTTATTTTGTCTAAATCAAGTGCCCTGAGATAACTTTGATTACTGTAAGTCAAAGTCAGCTTATTAACAATCATGAAAAAGAAAACAGGACAAATAGTCTTCAAATTAAATCTAATTCAGATCCTAGATCTGTTTACCACTACGAGCCCAATATGAGTTCCTTCTCCATAGACTTTCAGTCTATAAAACACAAAGAACCATGCTTTCTGTTTTACAGATGTATCAAGATATGGCAATGAACAAACTCATCATCTGCCAATGGATCTAAAATTGAACATTTACTTTGTAGAGTTGTTTAGCAATACCTAAAAAAAGTCCAGTATATGCCCATTTTATGCCACAGACAAGGATCTAAGAACCCCATATAATAAGTAGTGAAACAGATTTGTATTTATATAAGTATTTATATAAGACAAAACCACACAAGAGCTAAAATTCAATGAACTACATCTTTGCATTCAATGTCAATTCCCCGAAATATAACATGGGGGAGTAAAGAAAATTATAAAATGAGAATCACTGCATGATCTCTTAAGAACACTAATTAAAAATTAAATTTTGTTTATATGAAACAGAATTATAAACCACACATTACATACACTCAATTCATAAGAGTGCTTATCTTAAGGAAAGAATGAAACAGCATGGGGGAAAGGAAACAGAAATTCAATTAAAAATTTTTTTGATTTATTTATTTTTATTTTATGTGTATGAGTGTTATGCCTGCATATGTGTAACTGTACCCTGTTGTGCAGTACCCCAACGGAGGACAGAAGAGGGTGTCAGATCCCTTGGAACTGGACTTAGGAATGGCTGTTAGCTCTCAGGTAGGTGCTGGGATTTGAACCCAGGGCTTCTGCAAGAATAGCTTGTGCTCCTAAGTGCTGAGCCATCTCTCCAGCCCCTGGGGATTCAATTTTAATTGTGATGATTTATTTCTTAAAAAAGGAAATCTTTCCATATGTTTAAATGAAGGCTTATCTAACAAGAAACAGTGCTGGACAGGAGGAACTTCCTTTTGATTTGTTGGCCAGGGTAGTCTGAGAGACTCCCAAAATTATACAGGCTATTGCCACAGCCCTTGATTGCCTCCCAGAACTTGAAGGTAAGACCCTATTGCTGAAGACAGGACATATTTCGGACACAGACTCGGAGCAATGGAGCTGGAACTGACCTGAAGCCACTCCCTGAAGGCTAACTCTCATAGTTTTGGAGAGAACTATGCAAGTTGCTGATAGAGAACATCAACTGATGGTCTAACCCAAGCTTTAAGGCCTAATAACCACAACAATGACCAGCATAACAAACTACATTAGGCAGTAGTGGCATTTTAATCTTGGGGGTAACAAGAGCTACCTAATTGGAAAGCCCATTCAATGGGAGGGAACTCATGTGTAGTAGTGTAAACACAGCCAAACACACATGGCTGGAGAAGTCACAGATCTGAAGAGAAATCGCCAAGGCTGTCACATCCCTGGACAAATATAATTTCTTATTGTGTATTTAAATATGGAGCCTTATATTTACAGACAAGTATGCCAGTCACCATTCATCAAAGAAGCTTCTTTTGCGACAGACAGGCAGACTATTAAGAGTTCCACAACTGGTTACACACAGAGATTAAATGTCTGTGAGATGCTCAACCCTAGGTGACACATCTACAAAGTAACCTGTATACCTAAAGTTCACAGAACATAGAGGAACAAGAGGTAGAAAGAATACTAGTGTATCTTTCAACTTCTCTCAACTCTCATCAATGAAGCTCCCTCATGCAACTGAGGGCAAGGAACTCAAAGGGCCACAAATGGCCAAAGCATAGAGAATAAGAGTCTGCAGAGTGTGGGTCCTTGGACAGGACTCCTATATTAAATTTCAACACAAACCCAGGGTTCAGGGACCATTGCAGAAGAGGAAGCAAAAGACTATAAGAGTCAGAGGAGGATGTGCATGACCATATGGAAATAAGAGGCTTATAGGTTCCTGGGACCTTGTTCATATGACCCTATAGCAATGGTGACAAGCACACACAAGACCCATGTAAACTCAAGCAGACAAAACCCCAGCACAGAAAAGTGGAAAGGGGAAACAGGCCCCAATCTTAGCTGAAAAACTACTGGGCAGCTATTACTGCTGGATGAGGAAGAGCTCATCTTACAGGGATTGACCCTAGGCTGAGTAGACCCCAGTGGATAAACTTGCAGTGAGGGATGTCTGGGGACACTAGCTTGACTCAATAGGCCTTAACATAAATGACAGAATGGATGAAATCCCGGGGAGGGGGTGCTGATGGGGAAGGGGGTATAGAAATGATTAAGATGTTATGAAATACACAAAAATTCAAGGAAAATATACAAAAAGCATATATTAAAAAAGTAAGTCCTATGACAAAAATGTATCCATTTCTGTTTTCTTTCTTTTCTGTGGTAATGGGGATGGGCTCCAACATAGGGCCTCATGTGTGCCAGGCAAGCATTCTACCACTAAGCTGTATTTTTTCATTTTGAATTGGGGCACAATAATAGGTTCCTAATAAATTTCCACATATAATATCTCTTACTATTTTTCAAAATCAAAACACCAGTGTATGAAACTTTATCATCCTCAAAAGCATCTTAGATTTCCCTACAAACATTCCTTTATCTTTAATAACTTACCACATTTGTGATACATTTAAAGTAAATTTCAGTATCTTAGTTACAAAAGTGCATTTTTTCTTTCCTTTACTGAAGCTTTAATTTCTGAGAATCTATAAGCAATATAAAACGTGAGGGATCTGCTTGAGAATTTCCCACTAATTCTGATCACTCTGGACAGAATTCACTTCCAAGTTGCACCATTCCTGCATCTTTCCTCCTAGACAGTCTCAACACCATCCAGAGAATTCAGTAGTACAATTTTCAAGGGAGGGACACTGCTACTTTTAAACAGACCATCAGTTTTCATGCTTTCAAGTCACTGTTTGGGATCTAAAAACAATGCCATTTTATGAATCACAGAAGTATAAATAACATTTCAAATGTGTTTCTCAAAGAACTTTTCACATAAATTCATGTTTTCAGTTAACTGAGACATGTCTCCAAACTCACTGTAGCCACAAGTCTTAGTGATAAAACAGCTCACATGGTTGTCTGCTTACCATACTGAAGTACCTACTTGAAAAAACACTCAACTTGTCACCAAGTAGTCCTGGACTCAATCCATAGAATGGTTTTAGTGTTGTTCATGGGTGATTTAGAAACTGCTAGTCCTAACGTCAGCCAAAGTCATGAGACTTAAAATCATACTGTCTTTTAAAACACACAATTACCAAGAACATAAGAATTGAAGACAAGTATAATACATTTTTAAGCACAATGCCACAAGCCATACCAAGAAGATATGTTAGGAAGATCAAAGAAAAAACATTTGGACTTTCTTGAGAAAGAAGAAAGTGTAGGCAGCAGACTACCCTTTTCCTAAGTACTTTTCTGTCTCAATGGCTGTGCTGAAATCTATGTTAAAACCTATCATTAATAAACTCCAACTTTTTTTGTAAAAAGAAAACTTATTTCACCCTTCATTTAAAATTTTTAACAGCAGTGAGTAGTATGATTCCATTTTTCAAAATTCTTCAAAATGGTCTCAAGCACGGGCTGGCTCAGAGCTGATCCCAACTATATTTCTCTGAATTTAAAAGCAAACAGCCCAGCCTGAATCATCTTTTCCCTCCTATAAGGAGGTATCAAACAAACTATCATTTATCTGTTGCTTCACTTCTTAAACTATTCATGACAGATCT